CGCTTTGGAGCCTTCTGAAAATCTCCAAGGTTCCTTTGCATTGTAAGGCACCAGCTGCTGGATACATTGATCTAATGCATTTTTAAGTGGATGAAGTTTTCTGGCTTGTAGTAGGTGCCACCAAGGAGCACATGTCGTGGGCCCCACTCCAATGGGAGCTGTCTCAGTTCCTCTGTGGCCATCAGGGTGTTCTGTGCTAACAGAGCCTACCCAGCCACCACCCATGCAGGTAGGCACGCTGTTGTCAGCCCTACAACCCCCTTGATGTAGGCCAGCTGGGGTCCCCTGTTCTGGTCTTAATTCACTTCCCTTGGCTTGTCCCCTCTGCACTTTTTACCGCCACTTTCTGTGCTCTACTTCTAAGTTCTTATGCCAGGAGTAATGAAAGTCTGTTTCTCTGAAGTTCTCCCTGTTCTTTCTCTCTGACCACCTTTCTTTCTCTGTTCCATTCCAGCCTGGATTCAGCCAAAATTGACCTCATGATTGTGGCATGAGAGTCATACAACAGCCAGCTTCCACATAAAATATACGAAAGCTCTGTGAGCGACCTAAAATCAGATCTGAAAGAGACCCAGTGCCATCAAGCTCTCAAAATTCTAACAACTTCTGCACAATTACAAGCCTGTCCTATCTGCTCAGCACCTGCCTTTCCTTACATACACATTAAGGATGTGATTTCTTTTTTCCGAGTTTAAATGCCACCAATATGGCAGGAATATTATTTTATACCTACAATCTGTTGTAGGCACACACAATTTTGGTTACATTTGGGATTATGAAGGATTTTGTGAGCTAAACTGAAAACCTAAAAACCAGACCTAAAGCTGTTAGGGGACCATGTTTCTATCTTATAGCCCAGGTGTACAACCCATATGGTGACTTGATATTTCCTGTACTGCCAAATTAATAGTGAATACCAAGGAGAAAGACTTAGCAAGCAAAATCTGGCATGACTGAAGTCATTTTGTGCCAGGTATTTAGAGGGCACGAGAACTTGGTTGTTAGCAAGGGGGAAGCGTTAGGAGCAGCAGTCTGATAAATGCTAACCATTTGCCTGTGCGACCAGTCAGAAAGCTTTCTGTCCCATCCACTGTGATGGCAGTACCACCACTGTGTGAAGCTTCAAGGTGACATGCAGGAAGCGTGGACAGGGAGCTGATAGCCAAAACACATCAGCTCCTGATGCTTGCCCAGGGGTACAGGTTGTGATGGGCATTGGGAAGATATCTGAGTCTGCTCTCTGCTACTGCACCAGAGCACTGAAAACTGGGCACCTATAGAGGAGAGGTTTACTTTGACTTGGTTCTTGGAGCTGGGACACCCAGGATTGACTGGACCACATCCAATGATGGTCTTGGCTATTCCAACAGATGGTAGAAAGTGGCAGGGCAAGTAGGCAAGTGTGGAAGGGAGCAAAAGGGTGTAGACTGCAGCCACGGCTGCTCTTTCCCGTGAGGATAGCATCGGCCCGTCTGAGAGCCTCGTCCAACCACCTCCCATGAGGCCCCACTCCCAGCGCTGCCTGGCCATGAATCAAGCCTGGACAGTTTTGGCAGTGCAGACCATTTTTACATCGTAGCAGACAGAAAGATGGACACCACCTAGGCCTATAGGGCCTCGGCAGGCTGGAGGATGGACCATCTGCTGCAGCCCAAATGTGATGAGACCTTCTAGAGCCCACGTGTCAACCCATCCATGCTAGGACCATTACTTTGATAAATGCAAATAATCATATTTTTATGCCTGGGTTGATTTGTCCCAAAATGAATAATCCAAGATTTTGTCTACTGATTTTTTTTCTCCCAAAATAAGACTGGTTACTCTATGATTTTTTTATCTTACTTATATTTTTGATGTTGGATTATGAAAAAAATTATTTATGTACATTAGTGTGAAGCTAATGCTATTGTTAATAGCTCCAAATACCAGTTTGATGATAATAGCAAGAAAGAGTTGTGTATAAAAGCTGAATTTGTGCTTGGCATATTAGAGTTACAAGCTAAACATTAACTGAGTCCAAAAATTCTTTTCAAAGTGAGAAATGGTGTATAAAGAACTTGCAGTTGCAGAAAGATAATAGGAGAAATAATCTCCCAAAGAGAGTAAACCTTTAAAAAGAAGGATATTGAACTGGTAAAAGAAGAGACAGACTTGTTACATCAGATTGTTACTGTGTCTTACAATATTTGTTGAGGGACATGATATGATCTGAAGGTCTTGGTTTATTCACCAATTGACTAGTATTGTAATGAGACCCCACTATGTTTTGTGATTAGAGAAACATAGGTAAATAATCAGAGCATGTATGAGTGGAAAGTTCCAGATGGAATTATGTAGGCTGTTACTTAACATATGACTGATAGTGGGGACTATTCTTCTGCAAATATTCATGGACACAGTGGGTGGGATGGAGTGTCCTTGACCATGGATGTGGCTGTAGTGCATAAAGAGCTAGAGGATGTGATGCAAGCAGAATTTTGAAATTGTGTAAGTGATTGTTCTTGCCCTTCCTTGCGCCTCAGTCCAGGAAGACAAAACACATACTGGTGCAGACCCCAGCCCAGCATAGAGCCAGAGCACCTAATACTAGCTTTCCATGGATGTGCATTAACTCACAACACACTTAATATAGTTTGACATTTTGAGGTTACTTGTTACACCGCATTATTGTGGCAACAGCTGACTGTTACAGTGACGAAAGTCTCATATTTTTGTTAAGGAACTTTGCTTTAAACTAAAGATAGCTTAAATATCCCTCAAAGTCTTAATGCTAAAGGTATGGTCTCTGCCTGGGGCACTTCAGGTGATGCTGGAATCTTCAGCACCTGGGACCTGGTGAGAGGAAACTAGGTTCCTGGGCAAGTGCTCTTGAAGGGGAAATGGAGTCTGGGCCCCTTCTCTCCTTTTATTCTCCCCCCACCACACACTTTCTGCCATGATGAATCATCTCCTCATAGACCTAAAATCACTAGGACCAAGTAACCATGGACCAAACTCATCTAACACTATGAGCCACTATTAGTCCTCCTTAAAGGTTTATTTTCTTTTTTATCACAGTGATTTCCATCACTTCCCAACTGACTTACATAAGAATGAAGACTGGTCAGAAGTTAAGCTAATTATCAGTAAACCTCTAAATTAAAACTTAGAAACTTCATAAAATTTATTAGCTGTCCCTTGCATTGCTGCTGGCGGTAAACATGAAGTAACCTGGAAAAATACCTAACACAGAGTTGTACGGGGCTCCAGCCTGCACTTCATTCAGGAGAAAGAATCCCATCTTGGCGAGGGTATCCTGAGAGAGCAGCAGACCTCAAACCTCTGACAGTGTGAGGGGCAGGCGGAGCCATCCTGGCAGGCTGGCTCTGTTTTGACAATCAAGCTTCATGGTTGCAGCAGGTGGGAGCCTCAAAAATTTAAGCAAAGTGTTGACTCTAATCAAGAAGATGGAGGCTGGCTCAGGAATGTTCCACACAGCTCCGATGGGGAAGAGGCCTCTTGCCCTACTGTGGTGGAGGAGAGGACTCCACCCCCTTGCCCAGTGCTCTCCTTGGGTGCCCAGAGCAGGAGCAGAGTGTGGGCCCCCTCTGAGACCTGGTCCCCCTCTGAGAAGCCATTTGAAAGTCAGCGTGGCCTATTTTTCCCAAGCCAGTAAGATGAGCTATTGTACTGCCTTTTAATTTTGGATTGCAACTGAGTTTTGCATAATGTATTCCACCGAATTGAATCAATACATTTCCATTTGGGGGGTGCCCTATAAAATTCCTTTTGATCCTTTTTACAAACCAGTGTGTAATAGAGATGCAAAGTGGTAAAATTGGTACAACATGCCTGGAAAGCGAGTCCATGGCACATCCTCTCTTTGTGAAAAGGTAAAAATGATGATCTCATGTTAAAATTTCATTACTACACTTTTCTTATAAAGTCACCAACCTTAAAATGGATGAGATAAGGCACAGTTAGTGCTTATATCATTTGATCATTTGCATGCCAATATCTGGTAATCTGCACAATTATTTTCAAGGTAACAATATGCAACAAAATAACCATTGTTAATTTCCTATCATCTTGTGAAATTCTATATTGTTTTTATAGCTTTTATTCTCTTTAAAATAAAAATTTTTTGAATGGATGAATTAATGGAATAGCATTTGTAATTCTATAATTTTTTTAAAAGTAAGTAAATAATAGAGATTATTACCATCAAGATGCTTTTATATGAGAGAAATCTAGCTTAGCTGAGTACAATGGCACAAACCTATAATTTCAGCATTTGGGAGACTGAGTCAGGAGTGTCATGAGCCTGGGCTACACAGTGAGTTCAAGGCCAGCCAGCCTGAACTACATAGCAAGACTACATCTCAAAACAATAACAGCAGAAGATTGTTTATGACTTTATATTTGCTAAGCAAAATAATACCCTTCAGTCCCTCTGGCTAGGTCTGGACACATTACATTCTAAAACTCACAATTTGAATCTTTATAAAATTACTTTTCAAGAAGCAGAATGTCCTAGCCCTTAGTTCTAAAAAAAGAAATAATGTCCTTGAAGTTGACCCAGTTTGACTTTAAAGATTAGAATATCAGTAACATGATGTGCATAAATTTTTTAACCACTGCCCTTTTATCTCTTAGGGAGCACATGCAAGTATGGCAAACTTTAGTAATTTTGTTTCCTTAATAAGTATGGCAAATGGGGAACAAAAACAAGATAAAAGGTTTTATTCTAGGCCATTTCATTCAGCATAATTTCAACTTTCAAATTATAGGAACATAAATGAATGTCCTACTTCTGTGCTAGAAGTACTTGACTACTTTGTGGGATGTTTTGTGCCAATTCTTTACTAAATTATCTTGGTCACTGTTGCTAGGTAACACTGCTGGCTTCCTGCAGCTGAAAAATGAGAGGGTTACAGGGAGCAATTTGGCATTATTAGCGTTTGACTAATAAGTTGGTTTTTTAACTGTGTGTCTTAGCATTTTCCTCTCTCGTTTTCCAGGGAATGTCATTGTCTATGGAAATACGATTGACGCCTACACCACCGTGGAGACTCTCTTGAACCTGGGTGTGAGAGGCACTTGCATCTACCTCGTGCACACTCCGTCCAAGTCCACGGTCACCTGCATCAACAACTACTCAGTAGAGAGAGCAGTGGAGGAGGCACTGGAGGCAGCCGGTGTCACCACCTTCCAGGATGCCATCCTGGCCCAGTGGAACCAGGGCCTGAAACCTGACCCCATCTGCTGCGCCAGCTTCACCACACCCACCAAGCCTTTCCAGCTGCAGTGTGCTGTGAGTCTCAGCTGCTGGGCAGAGAATGTAGAGTCTTGGATTGGGGGTTCTGCTTTCTGACCCTTCCAGAGGAACCTCAAGCTAATGTCCACTCAGGGCCGCAGAACAACAAGTGCTTGTTACTGTCATGTCTCCAGGTGAAGGTTTGCCTGGGCCCACTGGGAAGTTCTCGCCAGATCTCTCTGAGGCAGCTGAAGTCAGCTGGAGGAGTTGGGGGCACCTTCCAGAAGGTGTATGTACTCTCTCGAGTGGCTGTCGATAAAGATCAACTTAAATTGATTTTAGCCAGAACCCTTATAAGTGGTTCCTCTGTGGCACTGGGCTTCCTGGCAGTGTGGCAGCTTATTTCTAAGGGCAAGTGGAGAGAAAGAGACACCACGCAGGGACAGAGACATGCAGACAGAGACAGAGACACAGAGAGAGACTGACTGTGTTCCCTTTATGACCTGGTCTCAAAAGGCATGTCTGTGGGAGGTCACTCACTGCACTGGTCCACGATCAGTGGGGAGGGAATTAGCCTCGCTTCTTCAGGGAAGGGGTCTGAGGTTGGAGGCGGGCAGCCATCTCTGGGGACCTGCCCTGTCCTGGGCCTGTCACTGCCCAAGGGCCATGGGGATTTTGTATTTTACTCCTTAGTACATTAGTTTCTGCCTCTACTTTGTGAACATTTATTGAACACCAAATAGATAGATCTCAGGTATTGTCATAGGTGTCATAGGAGATAGCAGTGAAAAAGAGAAATCCATTTCATTCTAAAAGTGTCTATACATGCATGTCATTGTAATTCCTATTTAAGAATAGAAAAACCAAAATGCTCTTGCCTCACTTTTCCCCTCCAAAATGTTGATCCTGGAAACTTGCCCAATTCATCCCAGGGAACTCCTGGAAGGAAGCATGTACCCAGGAAAATCTCCCCAAACCTCACTGGTTTCTCTGCCCAACCTTGGCTTCATGTTCAGATTAAAATCAGAATCATGGCAAAGTATCTTGCAAATGCTCTTCGTTGCCCTGATCCAGAGCAGCTTAAATTTCTGTCTTTCTTTCTTTCACCATCTGTCTAGCACTTGGTACTAGTGAGAGATGAGGAATGGAAAAGGAGGGATGGGGATGTCAGCCCCCTTGGGATGTTGGGTGGCCTTTAGTGGCGTGAATTTGCTTCTGGACAGTGGTGATGTTGTTGTGGGTCCCTCAGTACTGGTGACTGGGGCTAACATGGAAGTAGGGTCTTTGCAGATGTGATCAGTAGAGAGAAGGCCATACTGGGTCAGAGTCTACCCTCCATCCAGTGACCGGTGTCTTTCTCTGGAGAGAGATGTGCTGACCAGGAAGCAGCCATGCAAAGCCAGAGGCAGAGGTTATAGTGATGGCAGCATAAGTCACTGAAAGGCAAGGATTGCCAGTAGCCACCAGAGCCAGTCACGGTCTAGTTCCTTCCGTGGAGCCTTGGCAGGAAGCATGGTCCTGACCATACCTTGATCCCAACTTCCAGCCTCCAGACCATGAGAGAATGCATGTCTGTGATTTGCAGCTCCCCGCTGTGTGGCACTTTACTAGAGTAGCCATAGGAATCTAAAGCAGATGGTTAATGGGAATCTAAAGCAGATGGTGTATGTAACTGCTAATGATGGTTTTTATAACCAGAATCACACACTGTGCCCTATGTTTTCATTTGGCTTCTTTTACTCAGCATAGTGATTTTTGAGGTTTCATACAGTTCTGTGTATCAATAGTTCATTCCTTTTTCAATGCTGAGTAATATTTTATTATGTGGCTGTATCGCATTTTATTTGTTCATTTGTTTGCTATCCATATTCTTTAACCTGTTTTTGAATAAACATATATCTTCATTCTTTTACTGTATCCCCCAAAAAATGACTAGGTCACGTGATAGGTTGATGTTTGCGTCTTTAAAAAGCTACCTACTGCTCTCCAAAATAGCTGTACTCTTTTGCATTCCACCAGCAATGTATTGAGAGTTTCAGGTGCTCCTTGCTCTAGCCAACACTTAGTATTGTCAGTCTTTCTAATGTCAGCCTTTCTCCTGAGTGTGATGTGCTGTATCATTATGTTTTTAATTTGTGCTTTCCTAATGTGGTTAGTGGTGTTGGGCATCTTCTCATATACTTTTTGGTCATTTGTATATCTTCTTTTGTGTAGTTCTGAGCTATTATAGATTGTTTAAATTTTATTTAATTAAAATTTAATTTATTATAGATGGATTGTTTAATTTTCAATCAATCACTGATGCTGTACAAAATGCAATTGATTTTGTATATAAATGTTATAATCTAAGCCTTTGCTAACTTCACTTTTTTATTTTGGTAGCTGCTTGTAGATGCATGAACTACACGTAAATGGTGGCAGTTGTATGTATTATCTGATATTTAGACTTTTCATTTTCCCTAGTTGCTCAGCTCTAGTGACCAGGACCTCACATGCAATATTAAATGAAAGTGGAGGAAATGGACACCAATGGTATGTTCCGTAGTTCAGGAGAGAACTTCCAGATTTTCACATTAAAGATGGGATCAACTCTGGAATTTCCTCACACACATATAACAAAATTGTGACACATTTTTAGTAGGTTTTTAAAGCTACAAAATGATAAGTAATTCACAGTCATTTATTAACTAACTTATGATTACTTCTTAAATAACCCTAGAGATGAATCCTGCTTTTGAGCAGGTGAATGAAGCATCACGGAATCATGCTATGATTGTTCCCTTCCTAGATGTTCTTCAGCTTCTGTGAGAAGAACGTGGACTATGAGACTTTCAAAGCCTTGAACGACGCGTGTCTTGTCTATGATGGCCGACTTGTGATTGACACCAACTTCCACACCAACGACATCGCCATCAGGGCCGCCGGCCCTCTCACCAAATTCTCTAACAGATACTATGCCAATGACTGGACTCACAGCAACTTCAGTTCCAAAGAAGTGGGCTTTCAGCTGGCGGCCACCATGCTCAATCTCTTCGATCCAACCCTTGAGCCTGTGATGGAGCCACCAGCTGACCTGGACCGCCTCATCCCCATGTACAAGGGAGCCAAGATCCAAGGTACATGAGCAGCCACTCCCTCCCTCCGTGACACCATGGGCTGGGTCTGGCCAGCACTCACAGTGGCCGCCCTGGTTCTCTTAGGCATGGTGTGGGCTCCATAGTCTCCCAGACAGTTGCTCCAAGATAGAAGAGGGACACATGTCACTTCTGGGGCATTCATTAGGATCTCAGCATGATCGCTGTTAGGGCCCTTTGCATCTTGAGCATTTGTCTTAGGCCACTTCCTGTGGTCCCACTGACAAAGAAGTAGACTAGAAACAGTTCAGGCCTTCCCTGGAGGGTTTCTCTGACAGATTCCCCAGAAGCACAGGTCTTTAATGCTATCTGAGTGAATGAATGCCTGTCCTTTGCAGCTGTAAAACACTTCACTTTCACCTGCTCAGGCTTGTTGACCCCCAGGGAGGTAATGTGATAAGCAAGCTAGGACTCCTTGACCTTTAAAAACAGTGTTGTTGAAGATTATAGATGTTCCAGCCAGAAAAGCACACACTTTTACACAGTTGTATATTTACTTCCAAGGGGCCACAGAGCAGCCTCTAGCCATCCAGAGCAGTGGGAAGGAGGGGTGTTAGAGATAGGTGTGGGCTTGGAAACAGCTCAGAAAATTTAGAATTTGATAGTGACAGTTTTCTAAAGCACTGAGCAAAGACTTTTGTTGAGTTGCTGTATATAAAGTTCAATGTTTTATATTTGGGTCATGCACTGGAGGTATGAGGGGGATGGGATTGTGCTCAACGCCAAAGGCCTCTGGAGGTCTTGATCTGGTTTGGAAGGCGGGCTCAGTGTTAGGAGCTGTGGGGAGTCCCAGGACACATCAGGTTAGCTTGGCACATTTCAGGGCACAAGCAGCTCTTTTGTGAGTGTGATGTTGCCTGCACATTGATTTGATTACACAAAGCACAACCACCCCAAGGAGTGGCAGTTAACCATGCTGTGCTGGGAAAGTCTGAGGAGCACATGCATTGGAGACAGCTGTTTGCCCCCTGCTGAAAATGCCAACTCTGTCCCTTGCCTCCTCAGCAACTCATTCCAAATGTATAAACTTTGTCCTCTCCTCCAGGGGGCATCCTTCCTGGGGCCTACCACTACCTGCACATCACCAAGCCAGCCATCCCCACTGCTCTGGAGGTGCAAAGGACCCAGTCTGACTTTGTGAGTATCGCTCTCAGGGTTTGTTTTCCCTTTGAATCATAACGCTCCATCTGCAGCAGGATGAAAGTCTTCATGCAAGTCTTCCAGGGAATGTGTTGGTTCACACATGAGAAACCCCCTGTGGTGTCAGCCCCCAGTAGCCTCCAAGAATCCTTGTCCTTGTTCCCTTCTGTCCCCTCACATGCTGGCTGGCCTGTGTAGCCAGCAGGATACTGTAGAACGGACAGTGTGTGACCTCAAAGGTTAGGCCCCTGCATGTGCTCAAGCTTCTAGCTGTGCTTCCTGGATCACATATGCCTTGTTGTTAGGTCTCCAGGCAGCTACTTAGTGGGTCCCGCAGTATGGTGTTGAGCCTGCCATGCTAGCCAGCATTGGTTTCCCACCCATGGGAGTGGCTGCCTTGGCTAGCACAGCCCCTCCATTGTCCTTCAAGGTTTCAGGCAGATGCAGCCTACCCACATTTTGACCAACAGTTTATGAAGGCCATTGATCCAAAACCTCCCAACTCAGCCACTCCCAATTCCTAATTCCTAGACTCTGAGATCATTAAAATTCTTGTTATTTTAAACCAGTAAGCTTTCTTCAATAGAATTCACTATCCGAGGAGTTTCCGGTTCATAACAAATTGAGCAGAAGGTACACAGATTTCCCAGAGACCCTTTCACCACTACCGCTTCACAGCACACAGTGCCTCGGCTGATGTCGGCAGCTCCGCCAGGAGCAGCGTGTTTGTTAGAACGGATGGATTTATGCCGACACCGTTATCTACCAGGCCCAGACTGCACACTGGGGTTCACGTTTGGTCTTTTGTCCTGGGGGTCTTGACAACTGTATAAGGCAGGTGCCCACATTTTGAGATCATGGAGTAACTTCCCTGCCCTAAAAATTGTCTGTGCCCCCCCCCAAGATCTCCATAGTTCTGCCTCCCCCGTGTCACGCAATTGGAATTAGTCTGTTTTCTTCTCAGATTGGCTCCTGTCACTTGGCAGTATGTATTCAGGTTTCCTCCATGTCTTTTGTGGCTTGATAATGCATGTTTTCAGCATTCTTATTGAGCTATGTGAGTGCTCCATGGCTTATTCATCCATTCACCTGCAGAAGGGCACCAAGCCAGCAGTGTCCAGATGACCTATATATCTACTTTCACGACTGAACCAAGCAAAAAGCTCAATATCTGGGGTGCCCATGGAGATGCCATTATTTTACTCCCCTCTCTAAATTTCCCAGTAGGCCATCAGCAAAATAGGAGCCGTGGGGCTCACCCACCCTGGTTAAGGAGCCCAGAAGGACACATTAGTGACCGGTCACCTAGAGAGCTGATGCACCCTGCTTTGACAGGTCCAGGCTGGCTCCTGTCACCAAGGCTTCCTTGCTAGTGTCAGGTTTGCTTTCAAGCCAGTGAACCAGTCTTGGGATCTGCCTGCCTAACTTCTCTCCACCATCTGCCCCTGGGTGATTCTGAGGATTAACGACATGACCAACCTGACATGTTCTCAGGTTTCCTTGAGGATGAGGCTGGCCACACAGCGGGTTCCAGTAGAAGTTACTAAAAAAAAGTCCTGCAAAGGGAGCAGACTCAGAATTCTCCCTTCTCCCATCAGGAAGCTGGGAGTCCCACTCTCCTGTGCACCCCACAGACTGCAAACAAGTTCTTCAACTTCTCTGTACCTCCAGGCCTGTTAGCATCTTCTGTGAAACAGAGCAGCCCAGGCATGGAATAGTTCCAGATTAATAAGGAGGGGAAGCAGGTACTATTGTGTTTGAAATCTTTATCTCTCGCAGATTCTTGTGGGTGTCCTGTTCACATGGTCTGATTCAGATCACGCTGGGGACGCAGTCATTGGCTCTCCCGTTTCTGCTGCTGTATGAAACAGACATTTGGCTTGGATCAGAGCCCAGGTTCAGGAGTTCACAGGGAGAGAACAGAAAGAGGCAAAGTGCTCCAAGGTGTTAGGGACCTCTGGGCAAGGGCAGGATACACAGGTGCCTGGTCTGGACCTCTGAGGGCTATGTACTTGGAACAGGGCCTGCAGCTCACCCTGCTATGGGAGTGCAGTCCTCATGGCATGGCTGAGGGGCCACCAGACGCTGTAATGGCATCTCAGGGCTACAGTGTACGTGTCCTCACTCTCGAGTTGGCCACACATTGCAAGTCACTTTGCCCCGACCATCACCAGCTACCCTGAGCAATCACAGCCCACAGGATTCAAGGGCTGAGGAGGGAGAGCCTGTCTCTGAGTGGGAACAGTGTCAAGGTCATTTTTGCAAAGAGTATAGGATCGGGGCTGCTACTGTGCCATCTTTGGAAAATACAACGTGGCACCAAAAGGTCAGGGGATGTGAAAACCAGGGTGCGGCCCAGCATGTCCTGAGGCCAAGCCTTTGGTGGTCACAGATAAATAGCTTATGCCTAATGTGTATAACACCTAGCAAACACTGGGCTCGGTTCAGATGGAAGCAGACTCTTCAAGAACAGTATGCAATTTCCTACACACAGTGTCATTTACCCACGAGTCACTCGCATGCTCCCCGGATAAAGTCAGTGGAAGAGCCACAAGGGGGTTCAGATAATGAGATTTTTAATAAGAGTGCAACTTAAATAGTTGCCTTGGCGGGGGCTCTGACAGTATTTGAACAGGACCCCTGACTTTAATTAACTGTTTTGCCAGGTGGGGCTCCTTCTTAATTAGTACAGAAGATCTAAGCAGATTTTTTTCCATTTTTATTATTCAAGAAAAAAATGTAGGATGGCTCTGTGGCAATCTTTTGGGGTTGGAATTAATTCAAGTAAGTAAAATTGTTGCCAAAATGGTCAGGCCATCATCTGTATATAAGCAGTTCAGGTAGGTGGAGCAGCACCTCACTAGTGGCACTGAATTACTCTACAAAAAATGTGGTGCAGGTGACTCTCACCAGACGATCCCGTCTGTGCTCTCCACAGTCTCTAGGCAGGAGGATTCTTCCATGGTCTGTGAGCTCCTTACGCACTAAACCAACAGACGGAAGAAAGGCCTGAGCTGTCTACATAATAAACTACTGTGCAGACTCCGGTCCACCTGCCTTGTTGGCATGTGCACCATGAAATAAAGGAATTTGTCACAACAAATTCTGGATACCATTGGATACTATTGAATACTATTAAATTTAAAGTCCTGTGTTTGTGCTGAGAGCCAGGAGCCTGATTTTCTCTTACCCCAACTCTGATTAACCCTGCATCTTCCATCTAGACAAATTCCAAAGCTGTTTCCCAACGTTTGTGAAATCAACTCAAAAGGATAATCGCACTCAGGGGAAAAAAGAAAAACCATACCAGAAGCAGCATATTGGGTGTAAGATCTAACTCTCATAACAATTTACCATCTATCTAAAAAAGAAACTAGAGCACCCAACATGCCAAGTTGAAAAGCATGTAAAATAATCATAATCACCCAGAATCCTCAGGGGTGGTGGCCTGGGAGGAGCTTTAACCCATCATTTAATAGTGAGATCTTCTGTGAGGAGGAGCTGAGTCTTCCTGATCTGCCACCATCTGGGACCACACTGAACCTTAAGGATGGGGGTGGAGGGGTTGTGTTTGAGAACATCCCTTTCTTAGTCATCTGCAGTGGATGCAAAATACTGCTATGTGTTCCGAGTCCCCGAGAGGCCCTCCGGCTATGCTAACACAGGACACATCTCATTGAAACAGACACAGTTTGCCGTCCAGAGTTAAAAACCATGCTCAGCAATACCTGCTTACCGCTATCACTCTGGAGAGGCAGTTCTCTCACTGGAGGGACTCATCAAGCCCTTGTAGCTATGGAGCATGCATGCTTAGCATCATGGTGACACACCACAAGAGACCCAGAGATTGCTATTTGATCCTTAAAAAATAAGACCAACAAAAATTAATAATAAATAGGCAGTAGATCTATAGCAGTCACTGGAAGGACCCTGAGGGTGCCACCCTAATGGGATGGGGTGACCCCAGCAATGCTGAATGCTCATCCTATCACTGCTGCTGACCAGCAGCCAGCCAGGGTACCTCAGAAACTTGTCAGCCACCACTTATGAGGGATCACAGCCTCGACTTAAGGTGGTTGGCAGAAGTTCCTGTCAGCCCTGCCAGACACAGAAAGACCTGGCTGGCTCTGGCTGGGGTCTCTGGAGCCAGGTTGCTGTTGCCCACAGTGGTGGGTCTCGAGGTGGCCTGGAGATGTCCCTGGGTGCAGGACAACACTTCCCGTGGACTGTTTCTCCACTGTCCAGTAATTCTTGGGGAAACTTGCAGCTGAAACCATCCTGTGCTCTCGGGGAGGGCGGGAGGGCCCCCCCCCAGACCCTGGCAGCTCTTCCTCCTTGGTGGGAGCAGGCCCCCTGGGACACTCACTCACCTGCAGCTTTCCAGCTAAGTGGGGCTTGGGGAACCCACTGAATGAAAAAGGCCAAGACACATCAAGGACTGGCAGGATAGAGATTAGGGGATCAGATACCTGGAAGCCAGAGGCTCAGCCTGGCTCCCCTCACCCCTTCCTAGAAGGCCCCACCCCGCACTCCCCTGTGAGCCTGCCTCCCCCACCCATTCCTTTCCTTTTCCCTTCTTCCCTTCTGTTCCTGTTGTATCTCTTACCACTTCCTTGCTCTCTCTGCTTTCTGTTTCATTTCTGTCTCCATTTCATCAAAAATACGGCTCTTGCAAGGTCGGTGGTGTGCACCTGTAATCCCAGCACTTTTGAAGCTGAGTCTGGAGGATTACTGTGAGTTCAAGGCCAGCCTGAGCTGCAAAGTGAATTCAAGGCCAGCCTGAACTGCTTAGTGAAACTCTGTCTCAAAAAGACAAAGAATAAATAAATAAAAATAAAGTCTAGTTCCTCGTCATGGCACAGTCAGAATATTTACACTTCATCATTTTAGAAATGATAATCATTGCTTAAATTTGGAAATCACAGAGTCAAACGAACAGAAAGAGAAACAGCAAAAAATGATGCAGTCTCCCCACCATAGAAAATGACCATTCCCATTTGTTTAAGTGTTGCTATCCCCCCAGATGGGATGCACTGTTGATGGCTGAGTATTTTGCTATTATAATATGCACTGTGAACACATTCCCCTGCTGGGAAATCTGTTTAGATCGCACCATTGTGTCTGCCTTGTGGTGCGCCCCTCAGCCTCTCTCCCCAGTGTCGTTGTCCTCTTCCTCCCTCCCAAACTCCAGCTTGTCATCTTCTTCCACCTGACCTGGCCCCTCTCAAGCCTCTCCTCGACAGGACTCCCTGGCCTTCACCTTGGATCTCCAAACGCCTACCATTTGCCTCAGTTTATCTAAAAAGTTAAACCATGGTCCCTGTTTAGACAGAATCCCCAGGCAAAGTCCAGGACTGAGGAAATGTTTGGGATGAGAGGAATCTGACTTGCTTCCGGTCCCTGGGTTTCACGCTCACGTTCAGAGCGAAGCTCAGATATATACAGTCAGCCAAGATGAGTTGCTCTAAGCTGCACTCAGTCTGGGAGCAAAGTGAGAGTCCAGCTGCCACTCACAAAACCTTTGGCCTGCAGAGTTCCCGGTTCTGGCTCCCAGGGAGCAGGTCTGCAGGAGTCACTGGCACTGTCAGGAACTAGAACAGAAAAGCCCTCATGACATGGAGTTAGAAAGTTAGGGTTCTTTCCTGTCACTGGCTTCCTATGGCAGTTTTAGTTGGTTTTGAAAGGGCAAAATGCTAGAGACCACATCGCAAGCTATTTACACACCGAAAGGTCATCTTCGAGTATGCGTGTCTATTTACCATAGTCTTGGCCTTTGTTCCTGGGAACCACCTTTATCAAACTGACCCTCCCCAAACCCAGCCATCAGGAACTTATTTACCTTCACCTGTCTCTTTAAATATTCTTTAAAACAATGAAATTCCCTGTGATCACTGTGGATGTTTTCCTCAAAATGGTCCTGTGAAAACCTAAGAGATTTGAGTCTAAAAACAACTCACCGAGAAGAGCAAACCCAGTTCCACTCCCTCACTGTGAGATGCATTGAATGATAATGGGTTGTAACGTACCAACTAATTTAGAAACAAGAACGGTGCAATCACAGTTTAAAACATCCAGAGGAGCATTTAATCATGCAGTCAAAGTTCTGTTTTCAGGGATGCTAATCTTCTCTTGAGTTTGGTCAACATCCATATCTTGCAGCAAGTGACCAAGACCTGTTCTGTTTTGAAAAGCAAATCACTGTAATAAAGTTCCCAAAGTCGGAAGATGCTTTTAATGTTGTTTTTCTGGTCTGCCCCAGGGTTCAGAAATAGTGACAGGTAGCGCAAAAGCTGGGACCTACTTCTGGATTCACATCAACAAGTATAAAATGGTGGAAGATATCACATGTCTCTCCCGAGAGCCTTTCCCAGTCTCCAACTACATCCGCCTGTTCGGCCAGCATGAACAAGCCCTCAATGACCTGTGTGCACGTTACAACAGTGGCCGGATCTCAGATCTCTACAGGTAGGTGGATGTAACATCTGGCTATAGGAGGACACACAGGGATGTCTCATGCATGGCATCCGGATGTGATGCACCCTGGGAGGGGCTCAAATGGTAAAATTTGGTCCTGATCTAACACAGAACTGACCAGCAGCATTGGCTGAACAGTGAGAGGTCACAGGAGGAAGGACAGGGGCTGGGCCATGTCTACACCTGGACTCCAGATGCAGTATGGGCAGCCTTCACATGGGGGGGTGGGCGGTGACCACACACGAATCCCTTTCCCACGTAGCTTTTAAGAGCAGTGACCAGAGCCTGAGAGCAAGATTAGGAAGCAGGATGTGAAAGGATCTGGTCTGGTGTTGAGACCCGGGCCTGCCTTCTCTAGCTCGAGCTTGCCCAGAGGTGGGTGGCCATTTGCCCAAAAAGCTGGAGAGAGAATCCCTGCGCTGGGGGAGCTCAGTCTCTCTTTGCAGACTGCAAGACCTTTGCTGTGCTTTGCCTCACATTAGGCCTGGTCTTATAAAGTGGGAAGCAACTGCTGGACGCAGCCTCCCATTGATGAGGCTGGGAGACCACACCCCCTAACCTTTTGTCCCTCAAGTCAGACAAGGACAGATACAGGTGGAGGATAAAGATCACAGATGCTGGTAGCTTTAAATCATAAGGGTAGCTGCCAAGATCATCATTAGTATTTCCTCCCTCTTAAAAAATTTTAATTGTAAAATATACCATACAAGTAAAAAGTATTGAAATGCACATGCATACTCAAAGGGGAAGTAATACTGGAAATCCACGTGCCTGAGATCTACTATTAAATAATTCCTGGTTTGGGGGTTAGCTCAGTGGTACAAGTGCCTGCTTGACAACTGTAAGGTTGTAAGTTCAATCCCTGGTACCAAAAACAAAAAAAAGAAAGAAAGAAAGAGAAAATTCTTTACCTGGGGGCACTGGAAAGCATCTCTGAGCTTACCCTACCTCTGTCCCTTGGGAGACAGCCAGCATCCTGAAGTTGGACTTAGTCATTCTTTTTTCTGAGGTGTGAGGATCAGCAAACTTTCTACAAAGGGACAGATTTGGCCTCTGTCACAGTGCTCAGCTCTCACTGTGAGGTGGGAAAGTGACTAGAGTCAGTGTGTAAACAAGGGGCCTAGAAACAGGTCCCAATAAAGCTTCATTGACCAGAACAAGCTGGCCAGATTTGTTCCAAACCAATTCATCTTAGACATGGGCACATGGGCACAGTTTCCTCAGTTATGTGTAAAATTGAACAAAATTGTGTGATAAGTTGAATAGGATGCTTCCAAGCAGCAGCTCCCATGTGCTGAACAAAACTAGCCTTACGCTGTGCACTGTTGGTGAAAGCCAGGCACACTGGTTTTCCCAGCTGTGGTCCAGGCCTCTTCCTTGTGTAGCGGTGTCTTGATTCATTCATGGCTCTTCCTTTGATGGCTGTTTTAAGTTGTTCCAGTGTAAGGTTGGCCATTACCAACCTTGAGGTGGCTGCTGGGGACCTGGCTCATGTACAGAATTTCTGGACAGTGGCCCAGCTGTGTAACTGCCAGATGCTGGGACACACACATTCCTCGTGGATGCCCAAAGTCATCGTATCTCCCCTCCCCCCCAGTGCAGGAGAGAGCCTTTGTCACACTTTCCTGTCATACTTTGGTCACATTCAGGCTTTCAGATTTGATAAGTGTGACTGGGTTGCAAAGGTATCTTCCATGGCTTTTCGTTTGTGCTTCGCTGGTTACTAACACAGCTGCATCCTTTTTTGCTTGCTTCTGGAACTGTGACAGTTTCTATTTATGAAATTTGTTCATTTTCCTTTTGGGTTGTCTTCTTAAAATTCACAGGAGTTTTTATACCCTGTAGATATAAGCTTGTGTTGATTACATACTTCTAATGTGAAATTTCCCACTTTGAGACTCATCTTTTCACTTTCCACATGGTGTCAATTAACAGATATCCTTTTAAAAAATATTTTTATTTAAAGAGAATAAAGCCAAGCAAAATGAAACAGAATAAAGCCAATCAAAACAAAACAGTGTAAGTGATGCAGGGTTTCAAAACAAGATAATAGGGAACCAACAATGACTACCATAATACCTCTTCTTGTCTTTAGAATAGCTGCTTACACCACCAGACATGATAAAATCAAACAAAACAAAACAAAATGAAAGCAAAACAAACCAAACAATGAAAATGATACAGGATTTCAAAACAAGATAATAGGAAATCCAAAATAGCTACCATAATATATCTTGTTATCTTTGAAACAGTTGCCCATGCCATCAGATATAATAAAATCAAACAAGACAAAACAATGAAATCAAACTAAACAAAACAATTTAAATGACACAGGACTTTAAAACAAGATAATAAGAAATCAACTAACAATGGTTACCGCCTTCAGAAGGAGATCCTCTATGGATGCTATACCGCATGCTGTTAGAGGATCAAACTACTGGCTTTAGGCCTGCAAAGTCAATCCAACAATATGAGCATTAAGCTGTTTGTTTACTTTAGTAGCTATCATGTCAGTCTGTGTTCCTCCTAATCAGCTGGTTACTTCCAGTCGAACAGGGAGCTCTTCTTGTCTCCCAGCCCATGCACCGGCTGGCTCACGGAAGGGGGTTTGCCTCTTGGTTCTCCTACCAGCCCACATGGCTGCCGTCTTTCTTATCTTTGAATGAAGGCTTGCACAGTTTTTGTTTGATATGATTCAAGGTGCTTTGCATTTTTACAGTGGTGGTATTAGTATCATTTTCAATGATTGCTGCTGGTATATAGAAATACTCTAGTTTTTTGTATGGTTCTGCGTCCTGAAAACTTGCTAAATTCCTTCATTCTTTCAAACAATTTAATTTTAAATTCTTTTAGAGTTTCCACATAGAGAAATTACATCAACTAAAAATAATGACGGCTCTGTTGCTTTTTTCTAATGTTTGATTAGAATGCTTTTATTTCTTTTTATTATTTATTAATGCTTTTATTTCTTTTTCTTGTCCTACCATGTGGGCTATTTGTAGAGGAAAATGGAACTAGTAGTGAGGTGTAGTGCCCTTGCCTCATCCTGAATCTTAAAGGGAATGTGTTCTGTATCAGACATGTGGTGTTTGCTATTTATATGCCACAGATGCCCTTTTTTGGGCTGAAAGGGCTCCTTTTAGGGATGAGGGGTGTGGCTCATTGGTAGAACACTTACCTAAGTTGCAGAATGCCCAGCGTTCAATTGTCAGTACTCCAAAAGAATTTTTTATAAGTTCCTTTCGGTGACTGGTTTGCCAGGCTATGTGCGTGTGTGTAGGCATGTGTGTGTACGTGCGTATGTGTACATGTATATGTGTGTACATGTGTACATGTGATGGGGCTGAGCTCAGGGCCCTGTGCACACAAAGCATAAACCCTGCCACTGAGCCTCAGCCCAGCATTTTCATAATGAATGGATTTTTGGCTTTTTTTCTGGAAATAACATTTAATTTTTGAGTATTTTTATGTAAAAGGAGATCTTTCTAATGTTTTCAAATGTAAGCCATATTTTGATAAATGCTTTAATCCTGGGCTTCTTCTCCTCACGGCTTTGTATGCTTGATTCTGTTAATCCTAAATAATTTTTTCTTAAAATAAAGGATTTGAAGAGTAAACACATTTGCCCCTCAGCTTGAGCATTAGACATTAGCCTTGCTGGAGACTTGGGTTCATGGGAAATCCTTTGTCTGTTAAAGAAAACATCTACTGGGTGGTGAAAGATAGGTTAAGAATCTCCTCCAAGAAAGAAATATGTGCACATTTGACCAAATTCCAAGCCTCAGCTGGGCTGCTTCTCTTGGAAAGGTGACTGAGACCCGTGGCACTAGCGAGTTGGAGACCCCAGCAGGTGCAGCTGCCAGCTGATGAGAGCAGCACTTTAAAAAGTGAATATGGTTTGTTAACAGGGCACATTTGGGATGGCGAAGTAGGACAGGCGGCCCTGGAGGCCAGGCGATGCCGACTGGCATCTGTCAGGAGGCAGCAGGGAGGGAGGTCCAGGTCGCCAGGCCCTGGCAACCCAGCGCACCCTGCACTGCAGCTGCAGCCCCGCTCCGCCCCATGGCTCCGAGCACCACCAGGTCCCAGTGCCCACTCTGCTGTCAGGCAAACCAAACAGGCTCTTTTGGAGCAGGCGAGTGTCGTAGCTGATTTTGGTAGCCTTGTGATTACCGATTGGACTCCAGGTGTTGGCAGCACCACGGTGGCCTTGGTGCCGCCGCTGCTCTGCTGTGTCAGGATGGCTGCTGCAGGCCAGAGAACCATTGTCCTTCTGCTCCATCTCCTGCCTGGCCCCACGGGCCAGGGCACTGCAGGCCCTGTCATCCCCCAGGAGCCCTGGCAGCCCATCAGGTGGGATGCTGCCAAGACAGGCGAGGCCACCCAAGTGGTCCTGTTTGGGACCATATGGGGACAAGGGATGGGGGGGTGCTGCTGCCACAGGAGTGAGGTGCTGGCTTAGGGTCTGCCTGTGCTTTACTCTTTGTGTTCACCTCGGAGTGCCATACCAACCATCGGCACTGAGGACGGGGAAGACCGATTGATTCCCCCTGGTATGTGTTTGTGTGGGGGTAGGGGAAGGGAGAGACAGAGGGAGAGAAAGAACTGGTCATTCAGTTAATTCACCACTTCAGAAAACTAATAGAATCATTTTTATCATTTCTTCCTTTCCAAACCAACTAGCATGTAGTCACACAACAAACCTGTCACTAAAATCTGTCTTTCTGCTTAACACATTCGTATGTCTCACGTCCCGTGTACACATGTATACACACACACAGGCAAACACACACATGTGCAGGCCTGCTCCCACCTGCCAAGTCCCAGACATGTTTGGGGAGGACAGGACCTCTCTCTCTGCTGACAGGGCCCTACGCTTGCAGATGCTGGTGGCGACAGGGATTTAAAACTGGGTGGAGGGAGAGGGAGCCAGAGCATCTGAAACCAGTGATGTCACCACGATGCTCTCCACCTCTCCCTAAGGCCTCGCA